CAAGAAAATTACTTAAACATATGAAAAAGTTGCATAGTATGGCTTTAATCTCTCTGTTGTTTTCTTTTGCAAACACATTTAAATTTGAAACTTTGTGTAAAATTTTATGCAAAAAAATAACAATGCAAAGAAATAACATGTGCTGTATGTCAGGGTGTTTTGTACCTGAGGGTCCAGTCGTGTTGGCAGTATGGCTGAACATGGCCTAGATAAAAGCCCAGACTCTGTGTGACATCCAGCACATTGCTGAAGTCAAGACTTATGGTGTTGAACAGCACCGACGTCATGCTGATTTCATCCAAAGCCCAAACGTCGTGACCACGTCCCGAGTGGTATGGTTGCCACCAGCGGAACTGAACGCCAAACTTACGAGCACCAGATGGGAGCTCAACAGACACAATCCTGAACGAGAGAGAGGAATGAATGAACTCGTGAAATCTGGATGAACTTATTCTCGATAGAAAATGTTCAATAATTTACACATAAACATAATCATAAACACCCGCTCTGTTAACAATAAGTCCTTCCTGCTCAGTGATCTCATTCTCTCTAAAAACCTGGATTTTCTGTTTCTGACTGAAGTTTGGCAGCAAACATCTGATTATTCTGGTCTGACTGAACTCTGCCCGAGTGGTTATTCTTTTCTTAGCCAGCCCCGGGGTTCTGGTCATGGTGGAGGCCTAGCTGTTGTGTTCAGAGACCATCTTCCATGCAGCTCTATAACCTCTGGTTACTTTGCTTCCTTTGAACTGCAGCTGATTAAAGTCGGGCGTAAGGACCCATTTTTCTGTGCTGTGGTCTATCGTCCACCTGGTCCAAACGGTTCTTTCCTTCAGAAGTTTAGTGACTTTCTATCCTCCACTGTGAAGCTGTCCAGACTGGTGATTGTTGGTGACTTTAACATCCACTTTGATGATCCCTCGGACCACTTTGCCATGAACTTCTCCAGCCTTATGGACTCCTTCAGCTTTACCCAGCATGTTTCTGGCCCCACACACACCAAGGGGCACACTCTAGACCTTGTTTTTACCCTGAGTAAATGCTGACCGTGTTTGTCCTGAGGACGTTTGTATTTCAGATCACCATTGCATTTTCTTTAACTTGTCAGTTTCTGCGTCCCCACCTCCTGCTCGCCGTATGGTTAGTTCTTGTTTTCTTAATGAGAGCACAGCTATCAATGTTTCTGCTGCTTTTGATCCACCCTGTTCTTCTGATAACGACCCAGATTCCTTAACTTCTCAGTTCAACGAGCACTGCCTCTCCATTCTGGACAACATTTGTCCTGTCAGAACCAGATCAGTTCCTGCAGTGAACCCTACTCCCTGGTTTTATGACAGCCTTCGCAGACTGAAGCGCTAATGCAGAAAAATTGAGTGCTTGTGGAAGAAAACCCATCTCCATGTCCATCTGTTGCACATAAAGGATCTTCTGACATCCTTTAACTCTGCAGTCAGAGATGCAAGGGTTTACTTTTTCCAACCTGGTGTCCCAGAGCAAAGGGAACCCCAAGGTGCTGTTTAACACCATCAGCAGCATCGTCTCTCCTGCCTCTCCTACAGTCTCCATCCACTCTGTTGCAGACTGTGAGAACTTTCTCTCTTTCTTTGTGGACAAAGTCAATAAGGTCAGATCTAGCATCTCTCCCTCAGCCTTATCGCTGCCTCTCCCGACTCCAACCAGGCCCATCATCCTAGATAGCTTTGCTCCTGTTTCTTTGCCTGAGTTAACCAAACTAGTTAACTCTATGAAGACCTCTGCATGCCCCCTCGACATCTTACCCTCATCTTTGTTTAAAAGTGCTTTTCAGTCCATCGGTCCCAGCGTGCTCTCTATAATTAATGCTTCTCTGGTTTCTCGTCAGGTCCCTGCTTACTTTAAGAAAGCTGTAATCCACCTGCTTCTTAAAAAACCGAGTCTCAACCCCTCTCTCCATAGCAGCTCCAGACCCATCTCTAAACTTCCGTTCATCTCCAAGATCTTGGAAAAGGTCGTGGCTCAATGACTCACAGCTGCTCTTGATGAACATAACATCTATGATAGCTTCCAGTCAGGTTTTCGTAGAACTCATTCTACTGGAACAGCTCTTCTTAGGGTCTCGACCTTCTGGCTCATAGTGATGCAGGGGACTGTTCTGTTCTGGTCCTGCTGGACCTGACTGCAGCCTTTGACACTGTTGACCATCACCTGCTACTGGAGAGGCTGAGAGACTGGGTAGGCCTATCAGGATCTGCTCTGGAGTGGTTCTCCTCTTATCTCTCTGAGCGCTCCTTTTCTGTGGCCGTATCCAACTTTAGGTCCTCCACCAACTCTCTTACCCATGGTGTCCCACAAGGTTCTGTGCTGGGGCCTCTACTCTTCCTCCTCTATCTGCTTCCTCTTCAGCACATCCTGAGCTCCTTCAAAGGAATCTCCTACCATCTTTATGCAGATGACATCCAACTGTACATCTCCTTCAAGCCCCATGAGATGTCTAAGCTGCAGCTGTTACACACCTGCTTAGACTCTATCAAAGCCTGAATGGCTGGGAGCTTTCTTCAGCTGAATGAAGATAAGACTGAGATCCTCATCTGTGCTCCAGATGAGCTGGTTCCCAAAGTCAGAGACTTTCTTAATCAGCTTGCTTCCCACACCAAACCTTCAGTCAGACCTTTGGCCCAGCTCTCACCCTGGATTCTCACGTCAGTTCTCTTGTTCGCTCTTCCTTCTTCCATCTCAGGAACATTGCTAAGCTGAGTCCCATTCTGTCTCGCTCTGAACTTGAGACAGTTCTCCACACCTTCATCTCCTCACACTTAGACTACTGTAACTCTCTTTTCACGTGTCTGAGCAGAACCTCCCTGAACCGTCTACAGGTGGTTCAGAACGCCTGTGCTCGGCTTCTGACCAAGTCCTCCAAACACACCCACATCACCCCGCTTCTCCTCCAGCTTCACTGGCTGCCAGTCAACTTCAGGGTTCATTTCAAGATCCTGGTTCTGGTCTATAGGGCCCTACATGGACAAGCACCATCATTCATTGGAGATCTTATTAGTCCCTACACCCCCAGCAGGTCCCTGAGGTCCAGGGATCAAAGCCTACTGGTTGTGCAGCACCAGGCTAAAGACCAAAGGTGACAGATCATTTGCTGCTGTGGCCCCCAGACTCTGGAAATCTCTCCCCCTGAGCCTGAGACCAGTGGACTCAGTGGTCTCCTTCAAAAAGCAGCTGAAGACTCACTTGTTCAAGCTGGCTTTTGTATGAACTTCTTCACCACTCTCTCTTTATTCTGCTCTCCCCACCGATTCCACCTTCCTCAGGATCCACTGATTTCCCTCTTTCCTATTCACTCTCTCTCTTTCTTAACATTTTTTCTTTTAAATCGCAATTGCTTATTCTTGCTCATTTAAAATATATATTTAAACATTTTCGAAATGTTTTTTTTATATTTTTACAATTTTTTATATTTTTTGTTTTTGTTTTTGTGAAGCGCCTCATGATTTTTATCTTGAGAGGCGCTATAGAAATGATATTTTCTTCTTCTTCTTTAGCCATTGTTCATTTGTGTATTCTGTTTCTAAGTCCCGCTGCCAAAGTAGCTTAATGCCTAAAGACTCCCCACTTAAACCATGATTAAACAGTTTATAAAACACTGAAGCAGTGTGGCGATCACGTGGCATTTTAATATAACCTAAAATATAATTCTCAGGAACTTCCTTAAATTTAGAAGTCATACAATGTCTCATTTGGAGGTATTTCCAAAAATTTCCTTTACCTTGTAATTTGTAAGTACGGGTTTGATCCTCGTAAGACAAAGTTTCCATCTTTCTACAGATCTCCAATATTACATAACACGCGAGTGCCACTGTCCCCAAAACACCGGTACTTTACCAATACGAATAACAGGGTTATTCCAAAGAGAAGCATACTTCTGGACATAATGTGAAAGCTTCACAATATCGCTTAAATACATTTTTTATATCTTTTTCTGAGGTTACCAAAGAATTACCTAGTTTAATAGCAGGAATACTGTTTGAGTAATCCTCCTTTTTAACTTGTCTTGCTAGTACCTTCCCCATTTTTTCACCTCCCTCATAAAATGTAGTTTTTAATCTAAACATGGAGTATTCCACTTTCTTATTATATATTTCATTTAACTGAAACTTAAGATGATGTCTCTATAAATTAATTTGCTTTACTTAATAGACAGAATATTTTCTCTAAATTTAATTTCCTTCTCCAATTCTTGAATCTTAAGGACACCATCTTTTTTTTTTGAAGCGCATGCTATCAATTTGCCCCTCACATAAGCCTTAGAGGCTTCCCAAACACTTTGAATATATCCTGTACTACCAATATTTGCTTCAAAGAAATGTTTAAGATCTTCACCCAAACAGTCCTTAAATGATTTATCCTGTAAAAGCGAGACATTCATCCTCCACCTTGAACCTCTTTTATTCTCCAGTCCTAGTTTAATACTAAGTTCAACCACTGCATGATCAGTCAGTGCAATTGTTTTTATATCACAGCTTATTGCATTAGATAACATAGATTTAGAAACTAAAACCAGATCGATCCTAGAATAAGGTTTGTGGCAATGAGAGTAAAATGTGTATTCCCTTTTTGATGGATTAATTAACCTCCACACATCGATTAAGCCCATATCTCCCTTTTCATATGAACTGCTTCTCTTCCCTTAGAACTAATTGGGCCTTTAGATGAGCTATCTATCCAAAACAGGATCCATTACTTCATTCAGATCACCTGCTAGTATTATTTGTCCGTCCATATCTCCCAATACCCTATTTATCCAATGAAAAAAATGAGGGTCTTCTTTATTGGGGCATAAATGTTACACAATATTAGCTTTACTCCCTCTACCAGAGCTTGGACACATACCATTCTTCCTTCAGTATCTTTAACTTCTTTAATCAATGAAAATCTAATACTTCTTTTAATAAGTAAAACTACCCCATTGCGAGCACTTGAATAGGAACTATGAAAAATATGATTTACACCACCACCTTTAAACCTCATTTCTTCACCGTCATTTAAGTGGGTGTCTTGAAAAAAAATTATATCAGCTTGTACTGACTTTAAATAGGATAGTAATTTACGCCTTTTGGTTGGATTTCTGCACCCATTAATATTCCAAGACATACATTTTACATGTTTCCCTGTCATTTCCAATTGTAAGTTTCAATATGATTTAAACCCGCAACCATGCTAGACAAAATAAACATTTCCTCCCCTGAAGAAAAGACCAACTGTATGGGTGCACACAGCCAAAACACTCCCATGAACAGTGCCTAAACAAAAACCCTATCGGGTCCGTAGGATGCTGCTCTACTTCTCCCCTCCTAAGATGACAGATGATGAGATCTGCCCCCTCTGACAGTCAGACACTAGATGTCTCAGGCTCCTCGAGATTACGTCATCAATCAGTCGAATTTGGGGTCCCCCCTCCTTGCGCCCTCTTCTCCTGCTCATCCTCGTTGCTGAAAAGCTTTTCCACTGCCTTTGCAGAGTTGAAGCTTACATTTTCCCCCTTCCACTTTACACGTAGTGTTGCCGGGAACGCCAGGGAGTATTTGACATTGCGCTCCTGAAGCCTTCGTTTCACGGCTGTAAAAGCCTTCCTTTTTTCCGCCAGCTCCTTGGTCAAATCGGGAAACACAGACAGCCGACATCCTTCCCAATCAAACCCGCGTTTCTTTTTGGCTGTCATAATTACTTTATCCCTCGCTGACTGCCTCAGGAAGCATATACACACTGGTCTTGGAGCTCGGTTTGGGTCTGGGATCGGAGCAAAGGTGCGATGAGCGCGCTCAATCTCAAACTCAACATCATCACGCACCCCCAGGCCCTCAACAAGCATCCTCCGAACACATTCCAGCAGTGTCCCACCAGTACCAACAGTGTCTTTCAGCCCAATAACTCTCACGTTGTTCCTCTTACTGTAGTTTTCGAGGGCCTGGATGAGCTCCCGCGTAGCGTCCACCTGTTTGCTTCTCTCCCCATCAGTGTGTAGCCGCTCCCAGGTGTCCTCCAAGCAGGAAATGCGGGTCTCAGCCTCCGTGATCCTCTCTTGCATAGCCACCACCTTTGCATTCAGCTCGGTTGTCGTCTGCTTTATTGTAGAAACATCGCTGGCAACACTTTGGAGTGTGCCACTCATCTTGAAAACTTCAGTGAATAGCTTCGCCAAGTCAGGCGGGGCAGCTGCCTTGCCCCCTTCCTCCTCAGGGCTGCTGCGATTAGCTACTCGGCTTGAACTTTTAGTCTGCTTCGGTGCAGCCATTACTGGATTATATTCCTTATTTTGCTTCAAATAGGTGACAGCAGCTCTTACTCAAAACATCTGAAGCAGAGTGGCAATAAATAGAGGCCTAGACTGTAGAAAAAACAATCTAATCAAAAGTCGAAGGGCGGAGGTACTCTAACCAGCTGCCATCTTGTTCGCCGTGCCCACGTGACTCCAAACATGCAGCTTATTCATACAAGCAGATCAGCAGAAATTATTCACACAAGCTGACTGAAGTGATTCAGGCTCTGACTCGTACTGAAGTCCTACACAAACACATTCTGCTGTTTGTAATTCATGTACATTTGGACACTGCTGCAAACGGTTCTGTCATTTTTGTTAAAAATCTGGACCAGAAATGGTTTTCCCATTTTAAAACTAGCTAATTTTTATAGGCACAAGTAACTGGAATGGATGCCCTATCAGATTAAAAATCCTTTGGCTCATGCAAACAAAGGTACTGACTCTTGAAGTTCGTTTCAACAGTAGACTGCTGTAGATATCTTGCACCTGAAACATCACCTAGAAGCCAATAAATATCCCTGGATTATGACATGTTGTAAAAGTTCTTTTTATAATGCACACTGATTGTCCCAGCAGACAATAAACTACACTGATGAACATATTTATGGAGACATGGGTGTCCACATTGACACATGTCCATATATGACTGTGTCCACACAGAGTCAGACGCTAACTGCATGCAAACATTCTCAAAGTGCGGAAGCTACCTTGGCTCGTGGAAGCCTTGGTATGCATAGTGCTGCAGCAGGGTCCAGGTGATGCCATTGTCAGAAGAGTAATGCAGCAGAACGCCCTCTCCAGGCTGATCAGGTGCAGGGCAGGAGCTCAGGATGCTACGGCTGCCCAAACGCAGAGTAAACTGTAGATACCTGCGGATGATTGTTGCAGAAATATTAGAGAGAATAAATCAGACGTGAAAGAAGTGGTTACAACACAGATAGGTCAAAAAATAAACTGTATTTGAGAGTAAAGCAAAGGCAAAGGAGCATTTTAAAGGTAGATGAACTGACATCTGAGCATATCAGAGGTGGACGATGGATGAGATCATTATAAAAAACAATTAGATAAGAGAGGTAAGAAATATTCAGTTGGAGACAGCATGAAAGCCAAACTTCAGCTCAGTTTTTATGCGAACTGTCATTTTCTCATGTTCACCTTTGCTTATGCAGACCAATCAAAGTCTATCAGAGTAATTTATCTCAAAATCGACCAAATCAAAACCTGTTTGTGTGCAAATCTGTGTTTTATGAGCATTAAAGAGTCTTCCTTCATGTCTCAGTTTATAGTCTATGTTAAAGATGTTGGTTTGGACCTTTTCTCCCAGTCTGAGCATCAGTGCTACCTGGCCTGAGAGCTGTCCAGAGGAGCGGTGACCAAGTGTCTCCGGCTGTCTTTGTTGAAAACCAGAGCTTTGCCGCTGGCCAGCACTCCACATCCAAAGCTGACTTCAGCACCACGAAGCGATGAGAAGCTGTGGTAGGAGGAGAGGCGTGGACTAGAGAAACCCTCAGACAGGAAGGCTGGGAAAGTCTGGGATGCCAGCTCACAAGCTGGACCGCTGAAGCCCGGGTCACATCTGGGGGGTCGAATCACAGAGGAGGGAAGAAAAGAACCATTAGCTACAGCGACAATTACGAGAATAAGGAGGCTGAGATAATGAAAATGTATCAATAAACCATAAAGATTGGATTCATTTTGAATGGTGATCATTTTGTGTAGGAACACATTCACTTTAGATTTATTAGGTGTAATAAAGCGGGTCCTTACTTGCAGCCTGTACGGGAACAATGCCCTCTTCCAGAGCAGAATCGAAGGCAAGCCGGCCCAATGTACACTGGAAAAAAAAAAACACAAAGATGAATTTGATCAAATAGTAAAGTCGCCATAAAGGAAGGAGGAATAAACACGAACAACCAAGAATTGAACCATGTGGTGTTTGGAAATCGAGATTAGATATTTTTAATGTGACAAGAACATTTTCATCTTTTGTACATCAGCACTTTAGAAATCAAAACAACACTGCTGAGTAATCTTGCTGTAAATGTTTTATGCCTAAGGAATCAGATTTTATTGGAAATTGTTAACTGCTCTTTAATGTCAGGTCTTTTTTCTAAATCACTGAAAACTGCTGCAGTGAAACCCCTTCTAAAGAAAAGGAAACTAGACCCCTCAGTATTGAACAACTACCGACCGATCTCTGATCTTCCTCTGATTGGAAAAATAATTGAAAAGGCAGTAATGATCCAAATAAACAATTATTTAGAGTAAAATAACATTATGGAAGGTCTTCAGTCAGGCTTTAGACAGCACCACTGCACCGAGACACTGATCAAGGTATTAATTGACATTCGTCTCAACACCAATTCAGGTAAAGCATCTGTCCTGATGATGCTTGACCTCAGTGCAGCTTTTGGTACTGTGGACCATAACGTCCTGCTGGTCAGACTCAAACTGGGTGGGACTGTCAGGCACAGCGCTTGGCTGGTTCCAATCTTATCTCAAGGACAGGGGCTATGTTATTTCTATTAAGGATTACCAATCAAAGCGGATCACCATGACATGCGGGGTCCCCCAAGGCTCAATTCTAGGACCGCTACTCTTTAATCTCTATGTGCTACCCCTGGGTTAGGTCATACTTAATAACAACATTGCCTATCAAAGCTATGCTGAACACTGTCCTTCCCATTCGAGTGATTTCCCTGTCCTTTCCTGTCCAGGTTGAACCCATATTCCTTTCCAGTCAGGTCGGATCATTCCGGTACCTCAGAGTTTGAACTCACCACCCCCGGGTCCTCCTAGTATTTCCATTTTGGGCCGTCATGAGCCGTCCCTAAGGTGGGGGGTCCTGTCACGATTCCAGCCCTTCAGCCATTCACTTCACACCAGACACTAACTGAACTCCACTTCCCAGCATTCCCTACACCTGTTTCCTCTCTCCACGTCATCATACACACCTATTTTTAGGAAGTCCTTCCCAACAGTCCGTGTCCAGTCATCAAAGCTTCTTAGCTCTGCCCGTGACCTAGGCGTTTGCTGCTTGTTACAGAACCCGCTGCGACTTGCTCAGTAGCGTGTCTTCCCCTTTGTTTTGTCTTTATGTTTCCAGCGCGTTGGCTCAATCCGCAATGTCATGGCGCCCAGACCATCCGTGCTCACATAGCTCAGTGGCTCCCCCGGTCCTAGCTGACACTCCAGTTCAAGTCAGATGGCCACAGCTCAACCCGTTGCATCGCCCCGGCCGGTAAATCACGCCAGACAGTTCCAGAGCTCCCATGCTCCTCAGCACCATCTTCAACCTCCAAACTGTAAACCCGTTCCTTTTACCTTCTGGAACATTGTCCTTTTTCCGTTTGAGGCTCATGTTGGCGTTCCTGTATTAACTGTGTTAGACGTCATCCATCACTAGCACTTCTGCGTTTGGGTCTTGCTACACGCTACAGCCCTCCTCACTGCTCACTCAGTTGAGCCAAGGAGAGGAGACCTGGCACTGGTTACCAGTAAACAACAGAATAGATTTCAAAGTGCTTCTACTAGTTTATAAATCACTCAATGGCATGGGACCAACATACATGTCAGATCTCAGTCCTGTATACCCAATAGGGCTCTGAGATCCCTTGGAAAAAATTAGCCTCGGGTCAGAACCAAACACGGTGGAGGTGCATTTAGTTACTATGCAGCTCACATATGGAATCAGCTTCTCCATGACCTCGGATCTGCCCCAACCCTAGTGTTGTTTAAATCAAAAATAAAACCCTAATGTACTCATCAGCCTTTACATGAATTGTTTCTTATCATGCGTCGTCTCCACTGTAATCTGCACCGTAACTTTGTCTTCTCCTTTAGCTCTAAACTGTAATTTAATTTGTGTGTATTTTAGTTTGTGTTTTATCTTGTTTTCATATCATGTCTCGATAATTGTAAAGCACATTGAATTGCCTCTGTGTTTGAAATGTGCTCTATAAATAAAGCTGCCTTGCCTTTGTTGCAATACTAAATAATGTAATAAAAATGTCTGTGGTCATTATTTGTCATCCACTGAAGGTTTTTCCACGACTGTTTTGTTTTTTTATTTATAATTTTCATATTTTGGTTCCAGTCCTTGTATGAGTTCAACTCTGAAATAATGCTTTATTTTGTTTGAACGTTGATCTACTTGCCTCTGTGACTCAGTTTATTACATAACAACAAACTTGAGTGATTACTGAAAATAAAATGTAATAGCAAAAGAAACATAAGAAAATGACCAAAGGGAGAACAACAATGAATATTTTTTTCTAAAAAAAATCACTTGGACAACATTGTAAAGAGATGTGAATTAAAGTCAAGATTGACCAAAAAAAAGATCTTTATCTTCTTCTATTTGATTCAGCATGGTGCATTTGGTTTTATCAACATCATATGTGGAGTTTAAAAGTTGGTTTTTGCTCATGTGAACAATGAAAGACAATAATTGAGTCATCACAGTAACACAGTACTGTTTCTCTCTTGGTGATATTGGCGTCATTTTGATCAAACAATAAAAAGAACGATGATGTTTCCACATATTTCCAATTAATATTTGTATACGATCACTGCTTCAACAATACGTAGTTTCTCACCATTGTCTATGGCCCACATGTTGCCTGATCCAGAACCAGACTGCTTCCAGCGAAACCGTGTGGACTCTGTCAGGGCAGCGTTGGGGAGAGGAATAGAGATTCTAGTCCACCTGAGGAAGCAGGACATAAATCGTCAACACCACCTTAAAGCTCCCAGACACAAACTGCAAGTAGATGAGATACCCGCTGTAGTTGTCTGAGGAGTAGATGGTGCTGTGTGGTAGATGTGGTCCGGCACAGAGCTCCGGTAGACACTCTGTGTGCAGCAGAGACCACGAGCGACCAAGGTTGGTGGAAAACTCCAGGCTCACACTAAAGAAAGGAAAGAACATCTTAACAACTTCACTTTCATTTAGGCTATGTCACAATTGAATGCACCTGTAACTCCAAAGACAACAACACACTACCAAGAGGTTTACCTGGACACACTAACTGTCTGTGGCAGCATAAACACTGTGCACCTAAGATTTGCTGCAGTGCTCATTTCTCCACATCACATTTTCCACACCGTGCACATATTTTTTATGTGCTCATATTTTTTGCACAAAGGATAATTGTCTTTTGCACCAGACAACTTCCTCGAGTGTAAGAAATGATTGTGATTCAGAGTTGGTTGCATTGTTGCCTTGCATGGAGAAGGTTACAGGCTTGAATCTCGACTGTGACCTTTCTGTTCATGTTTTACCCTTGCGTGGGAGGGTTTTCCTATGGTACTCTGGTTTCATCCCATAGAACAAATGCATGCTCGTCGTGAACCAGCTCAGTGGCCTAGTTGTTGAGTGTCCTCTGTGGGAAGGAGGGGTCAGGGTCCAAATCCCAGTTGGGTCATACCAAAGATCTTCAAAAAGTTGAGCCCAATGCCTCCCTGCTTGACACTCAGCATTAAGGGGTTGGATTGGGGGTTAAACTAGCAAAAAGTTCCCAAGCGTGGCTAACGGCTCCTCCAGGGAATGGGTCGAATGGGGAGAAAAATATGTGATAACGAATGGGATTTTTTACTCGTTAGGGTAGTTGGAGACTCTAAATCATCTCTGGGTGTGAGTGTGGATGTGTGTCTCAGTGGTGGACTGCAGACCTGTCCAGGGTGTCCCACACCTTCTCCCCAAATACTTCTGGAGTTAGGCATCAGCTCCTTATGACCCTACTGAGGAATAAGGAGCTAAAATGACAAGACACTCCTTAAACTTTCATTTGTTTTAGAAGTCTGTTCTGCCTTCAGCTTCTGGATTAGCCACACATTTTAACAGAAATTTAACAGGGTGAGGCTGAAAGCCTGACAGTATGTAGGAGTCTCTCTTGCAGCTGCTTAAGCTGACACAGTCAAAGCGGGTTTGACAAAGCGTCGTACCTGTTGGCAGGCTGGTACGAGCCACAGCCAAGGTTGATGGAGAACTGAGCAACATGTGTGTGGGTGCCAGGCAGCACAGGGAGCAGCTGCATGTAATCCACGGCCCACACGTGACGGTTCGCCCCGCCATGCGAACGCTGCTCCAAACAGAACTGGGAGACTGGAGTTTGCAGCTCAGATGGAAGTGATACTGATACCACGGCAGGAGTCTGAGAAAGTAATAAAAGAGGTCAGAGGAGGGCAAAATCAGAAATAAGGTGAGAACTCAAAAGAAATCAAAATTGTTTAAGAGGTAAATTTCATTTAATTCAAAATCACAATCAGGGAACAATTATTTAAAATAATTGTTGACATTTTTTTCAGATGAGTTACTTGGCACAAAGGCTCCTACGTCTTACCTTGTAAGACTGGTATGGAAGGGTGTCCAGAACCACATGTTCCCTCCTGCCCTCCGATCTCCCAAACAGAATCACATCATTGTCATGTGATTCCCCTGCTTCACAGTCACCGCCTCCTGCATAAAAATATCAACAAACAAAATTCACGTAAGTGTTGAAGGAATGTGACTGTTAGCCATGTGCACAAATGCAGTGAAAGATAGTCCAAGGAGAAATCCAGGATGTTTCTACCCATAGTGAAGTAGAACCGGAGGTTTCCATATGATGTAGTGTCAAGGTATGGGGTGCACACTCTCCTCCGGCCCTCCTTCTCAAACACAAGTGCTGCGCCTGACTCGATCTCTCCACATCTGGTCCCGTAAACTGCCCCCTCTATGTTCCAGCTGGGCAAAAGACACCAGGACAAACACACACTCACACAAGGTTAGGTTTTGTTTTGATAACAGCTGAAATGTCTCCCCAGCCTTCATTAGTTTCTACAGGAGCTTATCATCACTAAATGAAACAAATTAGCTGTGTCCTAAAACATGCAGGAAACATGGTGGAAGCCGGCTCCAGCAACAGGCATGTCAGCTCCACTTTACTAAGTCCAGCAGGAGGCAGACCACCACTCTGAAGTTGCAAGTTTGATATTCTGGCCACTGGGAGTCTGAGTGGCATTTCAATAACCCTGTAAAGGGTATTTGAGAACCTACTGGTTTAAAAATGTGAAAAAAAGTAGCATGGTATGGCTTTAAAACTGGGGTCCATAGCATGACATCATCAAAGAGCGAGGGCGATTAAAAAAAAAATAACAGCAATAGCTCCGACTCTGCTCCGCCTCCCCTTCAGGAAGGAGCTGAAAGCCACACCTCATACTGCGCACTCGCACACAAATAGCCTTGTAGCGTTAACAAACATGTTTTTGTTGTGTTCCTGCACAGACACATTTGATTCTAACTGCTTAATTATCTCCTCAGCCTTCACTGGGTTCTGCAGGAGCTGCAAATCACTCATTTCAATGAAATATGTAGTATTCAAGCAGAGAAAAATCTAAAACTGAAAGGAAACCAGCATTCATTGCACACACACACACACACACACACACACACACACACACACACACACACACACACACACACACACACACACACACACACACACACACACACACACACACACACACACACACACACACACACACACACACCTTTCTCACTACAACAGGCTAAGCAATAGTCCCATGTAGCGTAAGATTGAACGCCACACTTCCCTGCACAAAAGATAAATTCCTTTTTGTTCCCCTCTCTCCTTTTCCATAGTTAGGTTGAAGTTTACAGACTGGTATGAATTTAATGCAGGTTGAGTTAGCATTCAAGCTAAGTTTCTTAACCCCGCACCCCACCCACTGCATTCCACTGTGGGGACCATGGACAGCTCCCTCGGAGGCAGATTGAGACAGCCTAGATACAGTTGTGGTCAGAAGTTTACATACACTTGTAAAAAATATAATATAATGGCTCTACTGAGTGTCCCGTTACTTCTAAAACTCTGATTTTTCTCTGATAGAGTGATTGGAACAGATACTTCTTTGTCACAAAAAACATTCATGAAGTTCGGTTCTTTAATGTCTTTATTATGGGTTAACAGAGAAAAGTGATCACATTTGCTGGGTCACAAATATACATACAGCAGTGCTAATATTTGGTTACATGTCCATTAGCCATTTTCACTTCAATCAGGTGCTTTTGGTAGCCATCCACAAGCTTCTGGCAAGCTTCTGGTTGAATCTTTGACCACTCCTCTTGACAGAATTGGTGAAGTTCAGTTAAATTTGATGGCTTTCTGACATGGACTTGTTTCTTCAGCACTGTCCACATGTTTTCAACGGGGTTTAAGTCAGGACTTTGGGAAGGCCATTCTAAAACTCTTATTCTAGCCTGATTTAGCCATTCCTTTACCACTTTTGATGTGCGTTTGGGGTCATTGTCCTGTTGGAACACCCAACTGCGCCCAAGACCCAACCTTCGTGCTGATGATTTTAGGTTATGTTGAAGAATGTGAAGGTAATCCTCCTTCTTCATTATCCCATTTACTCTCTGTAAAGCACCAGTTTCATTGGCAGCAAAACAGCCCCACAGCATAATATTCCCACCACCATGCTTGACTGTAGGCATGGTGTTCTTGGGGTTAAAGGACTCACCTTTTCTCCTCCAAACATATTGCTGGGCATTGTGGCCAAAAAGCTCGATTTTTGTTTCGTCTGACCACAGAACTTTCCTCCAGAAGTTCTTATCTTTGTCCATGTGATCAGCAGCAAACTTCAGTCAAGCCTTAAGGTGCCGCTTTTGGAGCAAGGGCTTCCTTCTTGCACGGCAGCCTCTCAGTCCATGGAGATGCAAAACACGTTTGACTGTGGACAATGACACCTGTGTTCCAGCAGCTTCTAATTCTTAGCAAATCTGCTTTTTGGTGATTCTTGGTTCACTCTTTACCCTCCTGACCAATTTTCTCTCAGCAGCAGGTGATAGCTTGCGCTTTCTTCCTGATCTTGGCAGTGATGAAACAGTGCCATGCACCTTATACTTACAAACAATTGTTTGCACGGTTGCTCTTGGGACCTGCAGCTGCTTTGAAATGGCCCCAAGTGACTTTCCTGACTTGTTCAAGTCAACAACTCGCTTTTTCAGATCCATGCTGAGCTCCTTTGACTTTCCCATTGTAGCGTTTGTGGGCGTTTGTATCCAATGAGCCCTATTTACCTGGCCTAAGAGAAGTCACCCGCTGTAGTCACTCAGAATCACTCACAAGAAGTTAAGAGGCCATGCTATGAAGCTCAGTTCACTGACACGTTTCTAAGTCACCAAAATTGCTAGTTCATGTTGCTGTATGTATATTTGTGACCCAGCAAATGTGATCCCTTTTCTCTGTTAACCCATAATAAAGACATTAAAGAACCAAACTTCATGAATGTTTTTGTGACAAAGAAGTATCTGTTCCAATCACTCTATCAGAGAAAAATCTGAGTTTTAAAAATAACGGGACACTCAGTAGAGCCATTACATTACATTTTTTACAAGTGTATGTAAACTTCTGACCACAACTGTATAAAACAGAGCACTACTGTAGGTCATTCATCCCCTCTGCAGTAAGAGCGTATAACTCCTCAATTTAAGCTGTACTGACATTATCCTGGTACACAGTAACACCAATGCATTATTCAGTATGTGTTCAGTACTTGTGCAATACCGGATTTACATGGTCTGTCTATGACCCTGACAGTATGCTACTTAGTTCTATAACCCAAGTTCTTCATTTTTTTAATTTGTGGTTTTTAGTGGTCGAAGGTTACAATACTAGTTTACTGCCTATGTGTGTATACATCTACCTTTGTTATTATTTTTCTTCAAATTATTCTCTCAAGTGAGAACAGGTGCTGCTGTAAGTGAATTTCCACACTGTGGGAACTATTCTATTCTGTTGTTGTGCACTAGTGTGACATCCCATAATGCACACTGGGGGAGGGGGTACATTCTCTCTGCTTGTCAACTCTCTCTTGGGGATACACATGTGTGGGTCAACACCCTGGCCTCGTGCCAATGATTGATTTTTGGCCAGGGGAGCGACTTAGTCTAAATTCTTAATGTCTAAATTCTTTTTAATATTTTACATTTTTAGATTTTGTGAAGCGCCTCGTGATTTTTATCTTGAGAGGCGCTATAGAAAAAAATATTTTCTTCTTCTTCTTCTTCTTCTTCTTAGGGGAAATACAAATGATGAAAGATGAACTACGTTATATTACAGAACAGGGTCAGATAGACAAAATGAAGCATTTTTTAAGTGTCTTTAAAAATTTTAGACAACACACCCCAGCTTTAGCCTTTTAATTCCCTCACAAACAAACAAACAAACAAACAATAAAATTTGTAGAATTAGACTACGGATGTATTTTGGGTTTTAATTATGATCAATAAGATGTGATGATTCTATATAAATATACAGTATCAACCTGATTGATCTTGTTTGACCAGAAGAATTAGGATTCTTTGTTTCTTCAGGGATCATAACACACTTCGTATTAATTCAGACAGAGTCAAGTTTATAAAAGTAAGATAAACTGACCATTTCCACTTTTGCATTTTTAGATGTGAAGCAAAATGTGCTTTAGTTTAAAGTAATCTGATAGTATTAATAAAACAATATGAAGGTAATCATAATGCAATGTAATAATGTAACACATTTTTCTCAAACAACTTTTACGAATTTTCTTGTTTTACTAATTTTTTTCTTGTTAAATTAATTTAATGCTACAATGTGATGTAGGGACTTTAGAAACGCTCTACCAATTGGTTGAGCAGGCAGGCAAGTTTTGCTTGATGCAAAATCTAAAAAATAAAAAAACCCTAATGACAATTGTTTTACATGTGCCCCTCAAGCATCAACATTACACAACGTGGTTAATCCATTATTTATAAAATTAAAAACACTAAAATTTATATGATCTGGTGGACTACAATATTTTAAAATTTATGTATAATGCAAACAAAAGGAACGTACCTGCATGATTAATCAAAAGATTTACAAAAAGACATAGCAAATATGATCTAAAAGGACATGAATTATTTAACATACCTAGACATCGGATAATCATAAAGGAACATTGTGGGTCTATATATGGAGTTAAATTGTGGAATAAATTAAATACTGAAATTAAGAATGCAAAAACAATATTGACTTTCAAAAAGGAGATAAAAAATGAAATGATTAACCTATATAGATCCATTACATAAATGTGAGAGGGAAGGGGGGTTGGGGGGATGAAAGAAAAAAAAAGGAAACAAGTCTATGTATTCATTTGTGTATATATGTATGTATGGAGGTCTACAACTTTATGCTTCTCTCTGTGTAACTCGTTTTCGCTTTTTTTTTTTTCGATTCATGGGTTGAGATTGTGTGGGCCAACCAGTCCAGGAACTATATTGTTCAATTTTTTTGTATTAATGTTATTTTAGTTAAAAGGGGCAGATAACATAAGTTTTACTTCTTTCTGTCCCCTTTTTCATTTTGGCTTGTAGTATTTTTTTTCCTGTTTTTATTTTAATGTCAATAAATGAAAAATGAAATAAAGAAAAAAAAAAGAACAAACATACAATGCCTGGTAATATTTGGCAGAAACCACTTAACATGAGCATTACACACACAGGTTTCTGCACAGAGAACATTGTAGATTCTCGTTATCTCTGACAGAAGTTAGCTTAATGTGTCAGCCTTTCTCCCAGCTTCCTCTGACTCCACTCCCTGCTTCTCACCCTTTCCTGTCCTGTTGTTACTATCCATTTCCCACCTCAGTCACAGCCATGTTGGTCCTAAATGACCCTTAGTGAAGTGCATCTTTGCCACAACATTGTTCCCTGCCTACCTACACACGCGCTGGTCCATGTTGCTGATGGCTGAAAGTTAGCATGCAGAGCAGCATGAACTGAGGTCATGGGGTTGCTGCAGAAACCTGCTTCCATTTCAGATTCTTCACATTCATGCAAAAGCAAACTGACAGATGTGGTGCATGAAGCTTGTTAATTACTCCCTGGCAGTGATACCATCTATCGTTTCTTCCCTTTTATCTTTCTGCCTCATGCGGTGCATCAGACAGGGATTCTTTGCTTGCTGCTGTCCGGTGTGTGGGTGTGTTTGTGCTCTGAACAGATGGACTGCTATCTATGTAGCAGTCGGAGGTTTGTGGTCACCTGTGTGAGTCCCCGCGCTTGACTTATGCAACACTGCGCTTTTCATCACCAGACACAGTATAACAAGTGACAGGTGTCATATCAGAGTACTAATGCCTGATAAATTCATCCTCTCTGGTACCGGTAGCACCTTCCAGTTTTTATAATATTTATTCAGACAACAAGGCGAGGGATAAACTAGAATGCACATGACTTACTTTGAAGGTGGGCTCTCAAAATCTTCCTCCCAGTAGCTCCTTCCCTCCTCTCGGTGCAGATCTATGTCTCTGCTGGAGGCAAAGCTTTTACCTGCTCCATCGGCTCCATGGAAATACAGGGCGTTGCCCTCAGACTGACAGGCATGCTGCTCAAAGAAAGATATGAGGAAATAACGCATTAGTTTAAAACTGTTTCAAACTTACTCTGACTTTGTATCATGAATAAACTTTTGTTGTGTTTTAATTGATTTATTTTAATAAGTATATAGCCTAAAAAGCATGCTACAATCCCAAAAGCAGCAACAACTAACGTTCTCTTGAATTCTTTCCGGAAGATGTTTAAATTTGGAATAAAATGCAAAAATACCATAATACATTAAACACTGGCAAACTAAAAAAATGGTCGGCGGACATAATAAGTGCTGCAGGAGAGACATGTGTTGTTAGTAAATTGTTGATTTCACTCTAAGCACCTTGTTTAGAAAAACTTTACAGCTAGGCTATATTACATCATCGCTTCATCATCTACTCCGTTTTCACCCAAGAGAAAGTTAAATATTCACCCATTTAAATATTTCAGGAGCTCATAGTTTAAGATTTATTAATGTTTCTGAGTTCAAACCGGTGCAGAATCACATCTCTTTTTAACAAAACCCTGGAAAAGGTCCAAGAATTCACAAAGAGCTAAAGCCACATACGTTGACATCCAGTTTATTTTCTGTGTTTAGCTTTATTTTTCTTGGAGTCTTCCACAGCGTTTGTACCATCTTTTAATACAGACATTTTACCAGTTAACACATCTGGAAGCAAAGCATTTAAATACATGTTTTACAACATGTTTGCTGTGACTTTTCTGGCATTCATTAATAGTTTAAAGTTTGCTTTAGTTGTTTTTTAAAATGTGAAATCATTTAATTTCATTTTCAAAGGACATGAGCTGGTGACTGGACTTTCGATTACATTTCTATAAATAGAGCAATTTAAAAATAAATTAGTGACTGAATGAAGGATGTTTGTATGAGCGTCTGCTGGTGCACCTTGACTGTAGCTCCAGGGAAGAAGAGCCAGTTAGCGGTATCAGGAGGATCCAGATTGTCCTCCATAAGGGGGGCCCTGTGGGCAGAATTGACCAGCAGCACATTGTCCAGACCCCAGCAGGACTCATAACCTTCAGGTCTATGGGGGTTCTCCTGAGACCAGCGGAGTCGTACAGACTCGGCTCTGGACGGATGCGGAAGAGGCAGCAGGTGGACAACTGTGCTGCTGTTGGTAGGAGCTCTAAAGAAAAGTAACACACACAAAAAAACTTGTTTCATGTGGATAAAATCTACAAGAAAATCAGATTTCTAAACAAGTGATTGTTAAAATAAATGAAACTGGGATTCTTATGAAACGATATGAAGTGTTATCACCTAAAATGTTGTAGGTGGCTCTTTACCTGATAACAGTTTGAAGAAATATAGGTTAATTATGACCAGATTGATAAGCTAATGGCTAGTCTTGGCGAGGACAAGACAAGACAAGGCAGCTTTATTTATATAGAGCATTTCGTATACAGAGGCAATTCAATGTGCTTTCCAAATAGCAAGAACATTAAAACCAATATGACAGAAAATACAATTTAAAATCTAAAAAGAAACAAAGTTAAAGGGTGAGCAAATACAGAGCAGGAGGTGCAGCATAAGAACACTTATTCAAAGGCTGATGAAAACATGAAGGTGTTCACTTTTGATTTAAAAGTTTGGGGCATATTTGAGGTCACAAGGAAGCTGATTCCATCTGTGTGCAGCATAGTAGCTCAAAGCAGCTTCACCATGTTTGGTTCTGACCCGAGGTTCTACCAGCTGATGGTTTCCTAAGGATCTTAGAGCCCTGCTGGGTGTACCTGAAGGAGATCTGATGTATGTATTCTGTCCCCTAGTAGAAGTACTTTGAAATTGATTCTGTAGTTCATTAGTAACCAGTGTAGAGGTCTAAGAACAGGAGTGATGTGCTCGGTTCTCTTGGTTCTTGTTAAGACTCTAGCAGCAGCATTCTGAATAAGCTGCAGTTGCTTCACAGCTTTTTTGAGAAGACTAGTCAAAAGACCATTGCAATAGTCCAGCCTGCTGGAGATGAACGCATGTATGCGTTTCTCTAGATCTTGTCTGGACATGAGAACTCTGAGTCGTGCTATTTGATGCAGATGATAAAACGCTGATCTAGTTACAGCCTTAATTTTACCAATGAAGCTCAGACCGGAACAGTTATGACACCAAGATATCTGACCTGGGTGTTTGTCAAGAGAAAGGTAAGTCATTAAAACAACTCTAGTTTGAAAAATGCTAAAGCAGATCTAGGAAACACTTTGTTAGAATTCACACTGATGTACATTTATTTGGAGTCAAGTTGTTTATTTCAGCAGAAATAGCAACAGAGCTAGCTAACAGTCTTGCCTAAGCAGCTAACACTTCAATCAAAGGTCTTATGATGCTTGCTTTCAAAACTAGCAGAAATGTGATGGTATTCATGTTGTTTGTTATAAATGTTTGAGACTTTAAGAGGACAGAAATCTACTTTGAAAGTTGCCCTGCTGTCACTAGCCGTTAGCTCATCAATCAAAACAAAATGAATCCTTTTTACAAATTGAGGTTGTTCGTTGAGCTACAGTATCTACACTAGATAGAATGTTAATAGTTTTTCCAGTTTAAAATACAGAATTGTTCTTTTTGGGCACAGGATCAACACACTGTGATAATAAATTGTGTCTCTTCATACTACAGCAGTTTGAAAGCTGACACACAGAGGCCAGGAGAGACGGATTAAAAAACAGGTGAATCATCAAGACAAAAATCTGAGAGAAATTGGGAGGAGGAGGTGTGAAGATGAAGAAAGGGAGAGAAGAAGAAAGACCTGATCTTATCCAGTGTGATCCAGTCATCAGAGCTGTTGGTGTTACCAGTCAGGCTGTAGGACACTGTGATGCTGGGGTCTGAGTAACTGAAGCGGCAGGAGCCTGAGCCTGGGAAACACAGAGCAGACAGACACATACAATCCATAGGTGTTTATAATCTAACAGGTGACACAATAAACATTTAATGTTTAATCAGATTGAGTTTAATGAGTGAGCTAATAGTTATTTATCCATGCTGAATCCTTCAACTCTTCCTCTGGAACCCAGGAGGAAAATAAACCGTCATCAGTGTTGTGATGGAGCAAACAGTCAGTGGTTTACGTGGATTTATAGACATTAAATGCTGCATGACGACATCAGATTTACCATCTGTGCATGCACAACATTACTGTACATGATGATGGTTGTGAGCTTAGATCTATTTTTAAACAGAGCCTAATGTGTGAATGCTGGGAGGAGTCAAAGCCTGGTAATGGAGTAAGAACCCCCGACGTTTACTCCTCCACACACCACGTGACTGTCTGTGGAGTCCATACTCTGAAGAAAGCATGCATTAACCCAGTGCCACCTCTACTAAACTTTAGCCAGCTCTACTGCAACATAACCCAACCTCACATTAATGACCTCCAAACAGAGATGGAGGGGTGAGGCTCTACATTATGTACTCTCATTTCCTCCTCGCTGTGTTCTCATGAGAACTGCTCGATGGATGTAATGGACATGAAAAATACAACACCTCTGAAAACTCTGCCTTCTCAGTGTGTTTCCAGTATATTATAAATCATTTATCACTGTGATAGGTGGAGAGGACAGTGGGACAGAGAAGGAAAAACAGATAGGCTGTTTGTACCAGCAGAACAAAACATGTATGTATCCTGAAGAAAAAAAACAATTTAAAGCTAAGTTTTATACTAAAAGTGTTGCACTGTCCACATCTTGTTGTCTTTACAGAGTTAGTGGATATTTAATACTCACCCAGGGCGAACTGCAGGACTGACGCTGTGCTGGTGTTGAGGGGCACGGTTGTCTGAGGAAGATACACAAGACTGTTGCCGTTATCAAGTCTCTAAATGTATCCATGTGATCTTTTTAAGTGTTTAAACTTACAGCGCTAGCTATGAAAGCAGTCAGAGAGTCAAAGAACTAATCAGAGGACAAAAGTGTCTACTTGTAAAAGTGGCTTTAAAAATGTATACCTTAATATGTTTATTTCATTAGTATATTTATATACCTGTCTGGAGCTCCACATATGGAGAAATGACTGAATTTGGTGGTGAACAGTAAAAATCCTATATTTGACCACTTTTCTACAAAATAAAACTCTAATATCACAGAAAGCATGATTATTTGCTGCAGATGTTACAGGATCAAAACCTGTGGTTTCAGTGGAAGTCAATGGGACACTTTTGTCCTCTAAAAGCTCAAGTGTATAGTGTTTTATTTCTTTCACAGTGTTCCCTTGGTCTATTTTCCAAATTCAACATTTCTAAATTTGTCCAGAGAGAGGTTTTGCGACAACATTTTGTACCATATGCACAAACAATGGTGAAATGGCGTCCAAAAGAAAAGCAAAAAAACTGCCCAAATGGACAAAAATTTCCCTAATGAAGCCTGAGGGTTAAGTTGAGAAAATCAGAGTTAGGATAGTTTAAAGGTTAAATGTACTCATATTTTTTGTATGCTTGTAGTGGGCTCTAGTAGGAACGAATGCTTTGTAAGTTGTATTCTGGGGAAAAAAGCTCTGGTGCTGTCACGTTGAGCGCAAGGAGGAGGTTGTTAGGACCCAAGATGCAGATATCCCAGATGACACGAGGCAGGAGTGTTTTAAAAATAAAAATCCTTTTATTTAAGAGAGCAAAAAATAATCCAAAAAGGCAGGAAGCCAAAAACCAGAGTCCTGAGTATCAGGAGAACAAAAGCTCACACAGAGCACAAACCTAGAAGCGAGGACAAAAGCTCACACAGAGCACAAGCAACACTGACACAAACAACAATGGACCGGCACCAAACAGAGACGAGCAGGGCTTAAATACACAGGGAGAACATTTAAGGAAACAGGAAACAGGTGTGTGGAGTAAGGGCTGGAGGGAAGGCAGGTGACACCAATCATGCAAATGGGGGAAACAGAACCAATGGAGGGCAGACAACCTCAACCTCAAACCCAAAACTCAACCTAAAACTGAGGGAAGGACTCACACAAACACTGAGCAGGGGAATGGCACAGGACCTGGGAGGAATTGACTTTACAACATAAGACACCTAACTGAAACGCAGACAAAGGACACATGAGGGCACTAAGAGACACAAAAGGGAATCTAGAGAGGGATGGAGGACAGCAGGAGGCACATGAAGAAAGGGGCAGACGCAGACCATGACAGGTGCATCTGTTTGAGGGCGTAGAATTCAGCTGGAAGAGAGAGATGAAGAGCATGACAGGATTTGGGCTCTTCCTGATATTTTGGACATTGCCTCTGACTGGCTAACAGCAACATGACTCTACAACGGACTCTGTTTGCTTTGCAATGTTGATGCTTCATCTCCACTAATAGCACAGGTCTGCAGGAGTTCTGCTGTGTGGTGGAGTTGCTAATGCTAATGGTTAGCTTCTACCAGCCGAGGCATTATCTGCTGTTTCCTAGCCGCTAAACCAACAACAGCCTTTCCTGTCAGGAGTCAAGCTGGGGGAGTCCACGGATGTTAAGTGACGGTGTGACGTAGATCTGTCAGGATTTTCAAATAGTAGAGTTTCACCATCTGTTTTCTATCAGAAGCTAATGCAGGAGAAAGGTGTAGGAGACTATTTTCATGTTCTGCCCGCATGAAAACACACAGTGGCCAATCATAATCAGAAATATTCATTTTAAAACTTTTTTTTCAGTGAAGTTGACCTATGATAGTTCTCTCTAACAATAATTCTGATTAAAACAATTGAAACAGGTGACTTAATAAACAAAGATAAGAGTTCAGGAGTTTGATGTCACTTTCTTTTCGATGCTGCAGAGATAAACTACACAGCAACTATTTACCAAATGTTTTTAAAACACAAGTACTTTTTAAAAAATGTTTCTCTTTAATACAAGATCAATCATTCATGTATGAAGCGCTTCAGGCTATGAGATGCTTTGTATTTGTGTATTTGGCTGTTTCTGTCTGAAACTGTCTGTGTGTGTCTCTGGAAGTGTGTCGTTGTTCCATTTGACAGAAGAGCTGCCAGACAGCAGCAGCTGCTACATGAAACATCTGGAGCAGTGACAGACAAAAGCAACTGCTTATCAAAGAAGTGAATAGAGTTGTGAGGTAACAAAAGGCTCCTCTGCTGTGAAATGACTCTAATCTCCGACAGCAGAACAAACTGTTTGAAATCCACTTTGTAGATTTAAAACAAGGACAGGAAAAATGTTAACGAACAATCGTGACCGTGTGATGCTTCAGTAATTAGCATGACCGTGATACAGTACGTCACTCTCCAGTTGTGCATTCTTGCTTTGGAGTAAACGTGCACGCATAAACGTGCTATAATAAAATAAATAAGAAGTCTGCAGACACTTGAAACAAGACTCTGATAAACATAAGATTTGATTTTAATTTAACATCTCATAGTGAAACAGCTCAGAGAAACAATTACAGTCAGCGTGCCGTAATTCATTGTGGATGTGGGTTTGAATTTATAGTCAATGGGTCATGAAATATCCAGTGGTTACAATGTGGGCAAACATGACAGTTACCAGCTCTCGCTCTCCAAAGTGCTCACAGAAAGTGACCGCCCTGCCATGCATCAGCACACCACACTGCTCTCCAACTTCACAGTTGCTGCACTCAGACCTGGAGGAGGAGCAAAAACGAGGTTACAACCACCAAACACACTGCTAAAGCTGAGCTAAAAGACTTGGACTTGTGAAGACCAGTTAGGACCGTGAACCTGGACCTTTACCACCCAACAGCTCGTGCTGATTTTATGATTGAGTAGACACAAAAAACACAAGGCGTTGTAGCTTTTTCACCTACCATATATTTGGGTCTAGCTCTCCTTGGATGCTGGAGTCAAAGTCATCTCGTAGCACTGCGTGTTTCCCGTGGAGCTCCGCTACAAGCATCGAAGTCCACAACACAGTTAAACACACTTTGTGCAATGCCTGGTGTTTTTGAGAATTATTACTTGTGTGATAATAGGAGACAAAACTAAAGAAAATAACAGCATGCAATAAAATGCAGGCTCACCAAGATTCGGCCTCAGCGGGGACTCGGTCGGGGCTGAAACACACACAGTTACACGGTAAACGAAGGCAACATCATAGTATTTACACACACAGTCTGCTACTTCTGCACCTGATTAGCTACACCTTATATATGAAAAGTGTTTTAAACCAACAGGTTTAATACCGGATAGAAGAAAATGCACGGAGCAAACAAAAAGTTCATATTTTCCAAGTTTTGAATGGTGATCTGCTGTGTTTGAGACAGTGAGAACTAGGAAAAGCAACCAATCATGCATCATATCCGACTAAAACAAACTGTCTCTGTGTCCCGGCTGGCCGTGGCTGCAGTCTCCTGTTGCTGCTCATGATAATTCCTTTCAGTAATCAAAGGCCTGCCTCCTATGATTAATGGTTCAATGGCAATTAACCCTCACCCTCCCCAGAGGGGGCTGTACTGTGATCTGTGGCCACTGCCTGGCAAACGCACCCAACTATCAATCTCTCTCTGGGGGACGGAGGAGGCAGGAGGTGAATGAGGGGCTGGGCGAGGGGTGGAGGCGTTAGAAATGAATGAATCAAAAGACAGTTAAAAATGGTTTCAACTCAATTAACAAAAACATCTTTTAGAACAGAGTCAGCCTCATCTTGAAAGATTGAAAAGTAGCAGACGTAGTGAAACTTTGTGCTGATTGAGACAGAGAAGATACACAGTGAGGAACAGTGATGGATCAGGTTGGGTGGAAACGCTTTTATAAGGTGGTGGAAAAAGAAAACAAGACAGGTTTGAAAAACCGTGAATGATGGTGTTTACTAAAGTCAGGTTTGAGTGACAAAAGCGTTAAATAATCAACTAGAAGACCGACACGTACACTGATGAGAACAAACGGGCTTAGCTTGAGTTTACATTTAGTGAATAATGATGTATGATTAAATGCATCAACTTGAAGGCATCGCTCATTCACACGGATTAAGACGTGTCTGGTTCTTACAGCTTGCACCTTGAGATGAACATGTGATTCACTAAAATAAGTCATCATGCGCTGCACAAAAACAACCAAATGCAGGAGTAGGGTACGAAGTTTGAAGGTAAACAATAACTTGGTGCTACAAATTAATTGTCATTGTTAAACTGATCAATAACAACAAAAGATGGTGGCACAGTTAATAGTGCGGTTGACTTGCTGCAAGGAGGTTGCAGGTTCAAAACTCGGCAACGGCATTTCTGTGTGGTGTTTCCTCCAGGTACTCCGGTCCCCCCCACAGATCGCAACATGCCCTATAAGTTCACAATTGTACGTCGCTTTGGATAAAAGCGTCTGCCCAGTAAATAAACATAAACATTACAAATAACCATTCATATAAAAGCAGAAAATTGGACAGCTTGATGCTCTAGATTATTCAGGCACACGCTGAAGTTTCTGCCCTTCAGTGGAAGATCATTAACCCGTAAATAATAAAAGTGTTGTAAACAGACACAGGAGCTGCTGATTTACGCCATGTCTGCCCCTTCAGGATTGCACAAAGCTTTAAAATTCTGCAACATACCAAAAAACAAATAATTAGAAAAAATAGACACTGGGTCTCAGCAGCTAGCTACAGGTTATGACAGCAATACGGTAATAAGGTCTTAAAGGAAGGCTTGCTTAGGAGGGGTGCCAGGAAAAAGTTTCTTCTCTCTGAAAAGAACATGGCAACGGGGCTGAGGTTGAGAAAAAATGCATTTAAACAAACCACAAAACTTCTGGAAGTACGTCTTTTAGGACAGATGAAACCACGATGGAAATCCCACAGTGCAACATGTTTAATAAAAAGGCACACAGCATATTAGTCCAAACTGTCAGGC